CTCCAGTGGTGATCAACTGATCGTAGTAAATTTCATTGCCGCACCCTTTTAGCCTGGAACAGTTTTCAGTAGTAGCTACTTCAATAAGACTATTGCTTTACAATACTCATCCCGTGTAAGGCTATGCTACGAATGCAATGAAACTACGTTCTGTACGAACGTCAAAGTAATTACTAGTTAAGCTCGCGATGCTACAAGTACTACCGTCCTATAATTTTAGCTATCAACTCGCTAGCCATATAAAATTTATAGTTAACTTATTACAATTTTTTTCGTAACATTAATAATATTATATCGCTGATATACCGTTATTGACAAGTTGCTTAGTAACCCGTACATCAATAAGCAAGAATTAGACATCTAGACTTTATGTGCATGGTATCGTTGCACTGAATAACCTAATCTCAGGTGGATTTCTAAAATATAGAGCTAGCGTTAGATTAAATCCTAGTTTAAAACGATGAAGGCGAACCCATTAAGCAGCTGCTTGAGGAATAATTTAATTTAATATATGCCTATATACTAGTCACAAACCACCTTCGTGACAAAGATAACGTAAAATAAATCTCTAAATTACTATAGTCTCCGGGATTCAGTATATCTTAACTACCTTACAAGAATTTAGACGCCTTTGCTTCTAAGTTAAAACAACTATAAAACTCTTCTTTTTATTCAACTATCTGCCGAGCTTAAATTCCCTTCGGCAGCAGCTATCATGTATGAGTCATGACAGTTCATGAAACTTAGCTCATATTGGATATCTAAATTAGTACAGACATTATTCATAATTTTGGACATATACTGAACGATTCTAGATAATTAGACTACAGTATGTTCACACAGAATTATTTATAGTACCATCTATAATTGAATATCTTCAGGATATTCACCACAAGCGTTACAAGACATAACACTATAATCAATTAATATTAGTTACCTTATGAGAACTCTTACTGCAATACAGCATAATTTACTGTAACAAAATAACAGCTACCGTAGTTCTTACTATAAGTCATTAATAGTCATCTCCATATATAAGTGTTAAACACTAAATTTAGTCATTTACTCTTCGCGGTGGTTCGTACCGTGATAATAGTGGTAATAATAGGCTGTAAAAATTAAGCTTCATTCTTAATATAGATAGCTTAGTTACCACAGTAAAGTCTTATCTGCTACACGTATTGAGTGTTATTAAACTTTGTTATTTCATTATTAGTGTAATACGCTGTCCTATATTATTTGTAGTTAGCTGACATAAAGGTTATTGTATTCGTTTCCTATCAGTTAAAGCAATAATATTAATATCAAAGTCAGTTCAACGCCTTTATATCTAATCGACTCTCTTCAGTGACCCTTAACGCAACAATATCTAAA